ACCCTCATGTTGTTCCAAACCCGTAAGACCTCCGTTCATCTTCGGAACACAAATTAAGACATTTTGATGCATTCTGAGAGCTCTCTGACCCTCCCATAGACAGCTATGTAAGTAACACGATCAACGTTCCGAAACGTAGCAAGGAGTAATAATCCATGGGACATCAGCCATTTTACGAAGCTACGAGATTTTGGAGAGTATCCACTGAACGTATGCGTTCTGTGTCAGCCGCTGTGTCAGAACGATCGGAGGGTGTGGCCCGATTCGGCTTGTCGCAACCGATTTTTTGTCAAAAAAATCCTCTATTGTGTGGTGTCATTACGATTATTTAACTACTCCCGATCGAGACGGAGCGTCGCCGAACTCAAATCGTAAATATCAAACATGTTTGATATTTACGACTCTTGATCGGGCTGCCTCTGACGTGATACCCGCGATAGCCAATGAGAGCGAGCAAGTGTCACCTACCGGATGTTGCATGCTTCTGTAGCTGAAACTTGGCAGCCACAAACATGCCATGAAAGCAGAGAACATCACCCATATTCTTTGTTATACTTTGTTTGTCACTGTGAAACAGAATGCATGCCAGGAGAGCCAGCTGACAACATTGATTGTCCTCTATTTGTTTTTCTTCTCTAGTCATGTTTGATCTCGCGAGTGTCCGTAAGATCATGTGTCACTGTGAAATTGTTCCTACAATCAACAAGTGTGCGGTCTCGCGATCTGGTCGAATCATCTAGTGTGTGCATTCAGAGGATTATAAGGCTAAAAATCATTTGAAACCGTCTTCATGTCTGTGGTCTCCCATTGTTTTAAAATCAGTTACGATTTGAAAATCATCTAGTGTGTCCCAGGCCTAACATAACCAACATACACTCTCAGATAAAAAGGTACAAAAGCTGTCAAAAATCTGTTGAACTGTCTCATGTCTGTGGTCTACCATGGTTTTAAAATAGTTTAAGATTTGAAAATCGTCTAGTGTGTCCCAGGCCTTAGATCATGTGAGGCACTCCCTCTGGCATGATAATCTTAATAATATCTTGTAGTATGTGATGCACCATGATTTTCAAATCTTGTAGTGTGTGCATGTTTAAGATGTGTGTGCTGCAAGCATATTTCATAATCGGTTAGGATTTTAAAACTCATGTAGTCTGAGCTTTAAGTTCTGCATATAGTTTTTAACATTAAGAAATTTTAATGCATTATGAAAAAAAGGAACAACAATTAACAGTAGTATGTTTATAAACAAACAAAAAAAATTAATTCATTATACCTAATGCATTAAATCAAATTTAATGAAACCTTCTTGTACTGTGTTTCTAACAAATTTAAATAGGTTTCTTGTGTGAAAACAACAAGTTTGTTATTGCTAATTAATATATTTAGCAAGATATAATGCAGGCACACCACATGTCCGCTAAGGAAAAATACTAAGTATCAATGCTGTACAAAGGAACAAAATTAGGAAATCAGAAAAGTATTTATGCATTTTACAAATGGAATTTTATTAATCCCAGAGCAAATCCAATAAAAACAGTAATTTTAAGTCAACAAAGTCCCACTGCAACAGCTGATTAGCAATTTGTCACACACAGTCATCAATAGATCAACAGTTAAGTGTATAATTTCTGTACAACTAGTGTCTCCAACAGAACTGCAAAAAAAAAAAAAAAATTCCAAACAGGTTTCCAGAAGTCTCCGAATAAATCTAAAAATGGCATCTTTCTCTACATATTAAAATGGGATAGAAGAAAATATTCTAGCATATTCTAAAAATTACACACTGCCTCATCTTGTGTCATTAGAATGCTACATTTATGTCCATAGCCTACAAAAAAACGTCCCTGTCCCAATCCAATAAGAATTTCTGAGAGCCTGTTACAGTACTTAATGGGTGTGAAAAGGAAATTGTGTGAACGTAGAGGCTAAGAGGCCCATAAAACCATTTTCATAAATGAGCAGTACTCCGTTTCTCCCCAGACAAGGTTTGCGATGGACTGCAACATTTTTATCCCCTCTATTTGGTCCAAGCTCTGTGCGCATTATGTGCTGATTAATTGAATCAAGCTGTGATTTGGTTCTGTTCCATTGAACAAGTGCTGAGATGTTTCATGGCTGGGGTTCTCCTGGCTTCCTCTCTCTCGTAAAACACCTACCCACTGCCAACAGCACACAACATGCGCTCTCTGCTTATCGCCGTGTGCGATGAGTGCTACACTTCGGTTTCCCTAGCGATGCCTGAAAAACCAAAACGTTAGGGAACTCACCACTGAGAGGATCCTTCTGTGCCGGTTATTTCCAGGACGTCGTAGTCTTCTTCCAATTGGAAGCTGGAGAAGACCAAGGCGATGGTGTCACCTGGTTCAGCCAGCACGGTCCATGTACAGTCCGCATTGTTGTTGTACTCCTGGGGGTAATTTGGACTGGTGATGACACCACTTTGACCCCGTAGTGTGCCGCCACAGCCATCGTCCGCTGTGAAGAAGTTACACACACAAATAAGGACACATTTAACTTAATAAATCAATTTCCTTGATCTTCTGGAGGAGAAATAGCTGGAAATAGGGGGGGGGGGG